TCTATTTCTATTTCTATTTCTATATCTATGTCTACATCTATATCTATATCTATATCTATATCTATATCTATATCTATATCTACATCTATCTATCTATCTATCTATCTATCTATCTATATATATACATACATACATACATACACACACACACACGCAATCTCAGACACAGATGTTTCTCTCATAATATGTCGGCCTTGCCAAGGTCGCGCTGAGTTCTGTGGTCTCCTCCGAGGCCACGCTGGCAGCCTGCACTGCACCGATGTTTGATACCATTACATTCCCTAATCCTTATAAACCCTAAACCCACTACCTGCGATACCATTACATGTCTGCCAGTGTGTACGTTTGATTTTTGCTTGCCCACTATTAGAAAATGCTTGTATAGACATACGTATATGCAAACGTGCACACACACACACGCACACACACACACATGTACATGTATGTATATTTAGATATACACAAATACACGCACGTATTTCTGTGCAGACCACTGTGTGTGCTTGGTCGACTCATGGGTATAACATGGACAATCATGCATCTAGTGCTGTGCTAGGATCTCGTGTTGCGATATAGCTTGGCGTGTGATGCTATTCTTGTGACCATGTTATCATGTTGCATGTGATGCGACATGTTGCATGAAATCACTGAAAACTGAAACTACACTACATTCTGCAAAACCATCTTCGCACTTATTACTAAGAGCAAGCTTCATCCATCATGATGTACCAAGGTGCTGCATATGAGCTTAACAACCCGAACCCGCTCCAGGCAGGAGCACTAGTTCTGATCAAGGGACTCACCTAGATGGGAGAGAAACAGACCACGACGAAAGCACCGAACTACCGACTCACCTAACTACAGAATGCTTTGCCGAAAATACCCGGAAGCAGGAACGCCAAGTCTACAATCGCCGTCGTCGCTGTCATGGTCGTGTAGTCGTGGTGGTAGTAGTAGTAGTAGTAGTAGCAGGAGTAGTAGCAATAGTAGTAGTAGTAGTAGTAGCAGCAGCAGTAGTAGCAGTAGTAGCAGTAGTAGCAGTAGTAGCAGAAGTAGTACTAATAGTAGTAGTAGTAGTAGTAGTAGTAGCAGCAGCAGAAGTAGTAGTAGTAGTGGTGGTGGTGGTGGTGGTGGTGGTGGTGGTGGTGCTGGGGGTGGTGTTGTTGGTGGTGGTGGTGGTGGTGGTGGTGGTCGTGGTCGTGGTCGTGGTAGTGCTAGTGTTAGTGCTAGTGGTGGTAGTGGTAGTGGTAGTATTGCTAGAAGTGGTAGTGGTGGTAGTAGTAGTTGTTGTTGCCGTAGTAGCAGCAGCAGCAGGAGCAGAAGCAGCAGCAGCAGCAGCAGTAGTCTCCGGGCTTGTAGCTCGTCTTTTTTCTCACCACTGTCGGCTACCAATCGTAGCCGAAATTCCGGGAACTCGTAGAGTAAAACTGGCCATACCACCGCATAAAGTCCAAGAAGGGGCCGTCCCCGGACCTCAGATGAGCTGCTTCAAGCAATCCAGTTTCCGAGGTGCGAACGAGCTCCGCCGCAGTTCCGCTGCTCTCTGGTAGTATTGTCTTCATGCCACGACCCCTGTGTGAAGACGCAGTTCGGCAATACTTGCAAAGAATCTGCAGTCTGATCGGTTGTATCTCCTGGAAGGCCAGTTCCGAGCCCGGGTAAGGCCCCACCGCCTACTTCGTGCTTCATGATTCTACGCCCTAAACCGTAGGCCAAGACCCAGGGTGTTTTGATGCTGAAGGCAACAGAAGTAGTGAGCAGCATCAGCTTTCCAGCCAGTAACACCCTACAGCCCAAACAATTCCTGTCTTCCGGCCGAGGTTTCGCTGGTAAACAGCGAACAGCTACCATCCCACAGCCGAGAAGCCCATCAACATGCCACCTGCGAACCTATCTCGAAGCGCGACGAGATTGGATCCCTCCACCCTGAGACGTGAAGCCCCTCCACCCTAAACCCGAACGCCCCTAAAGCACCTTGGAGTACCCTCATGTAGCCTCATGTACCGTAAAGCCCTGAACTCTGAACCCTCCCATGCTCAGCGTAAGGTTGAGGCTTCGAAAAGGGTTTTGGCAGGCTGAGGGTTCGTGGGTTTCGAGTTTAGAGTTTGGGCTTTGCAGCAATTAGGGGGTTTCTGAAGAAGGTTTCCGAGGTACAATCATCATCTGATATCCCCTACTGAGTTACTGTGGTCTCACGATGAAGCAGCAACACTGCTAGATATTGAGATTTCATCTTTGCTTGATCCGTGCTTCCAGTTCAGAGCCCGCCCTACACGAAACAACTGACCCTTGCCATGCACCTTAGGCCTTAAGCAGAATTGTGCAGCTCATCCAAAAATCCTGGGCCACAACCATCGGTTCGCCCGAGGCATAGCAGACAGGAGTAGGATCTGGAGGTTCTCGGAGCTGAAGTGCCCGAAACTCCGAGACCACCAGCTATTCTCGAAAAGCGGCATGAGAACCGGCTTCTTGTGGTAGATCTTGTTCTCCCACACCTTCCGGTTGCCCGGCAATGATCTGCTACTGCTCGTGCAGAGGGCTTAGGCCTCATCTTGGGAATTTCGCTGCGGTGCTTGGGCTCTCAAGGGGCAGAGTGGGGATTTAGGGCCTTTAGGGTTTAGGGTCTAGCGCCTTGGACTTCCGAACAGAGGTCAACCGGCCCAAATGCCAAATCGAAGTTCTACCACGCCCGTAGACCCAGAATAAAACCAACAGCGTCAAAAGCCCCATGGGATTATACGAGAATCTGGGCAGTTCTCTAAGTTAGGGTCCCTTTCTGGGTCCCCAGCATAGTGTTATAAAAGGGACCCCAAAAGGGACCCCAATTTAGAGAACTACCCATCTGGTAAACGAAGATGGGAGCACGAAGCCCTTTGCGCCACTGCCCCTCATCCTGAAACCCTAAACCAGAAGACCCGACCACCACGCCTCTTCCGCCCCGGTTAGTGTTCAGGGTTCAGGGTTTGGCTTTGGGCTAAGTGTAGGGGTATTCGGTTGCGGGGTCGAGGGTGAGAAAACACTCCTGACAATGCATTAACATTGCTCGCTTGCTGCAATGCATGCCAGACCTCGTTCAACCTTTTCCGGCTCTTTCGGTAAAGTCCAGAGCTCCATCACAACATGCACCCACCTGTACAACCCTATCAGCCCTAGCAGCGAAAAGCAAACGCTTCGGGTTGTTCGTTCGACTACGGAGGCTACGGCCCAAACCCTGGACCCTAACTGAACAGAAACCCAACCCATCCAGTTTCAGGTTGGCCTCGCGATCTTGCTCGAGGGCGCGCCCCCCGATGATTCCAAGGGCCACGGCCACAGCACCTTTACTTTAGGCCGTTTAGGGTTGAGCTGTGGAGATAGCAGCAACAATCATGGTAGTTTTCATCTGTGGCTGCTAAGAAGCGGGAGTATGGTCAATCCAAAATCTGATAGCAAGTGCTCATGGCATTACAATATCTACGTAATCAAAGACGACCTGAGCCGGTGCAGGCTTAGTTATGGGCCTCCGAAGGCTTTTTGGCTTTGAGGTTTAGGGTTTGGGGCTTGGGGTTTAGGGTTTAGGGATTCAGGTTTTGAAATTTCCGCCCAAAAGGGTTAAAGGGCTCAATTCCGTTCGTTCTCTTCCGATGAGAGGCTTTCGGAGGAGTAGTCTGGGGGCCGTGATGATTAGTAAGCAAGATTTCGGGGTATTTATTTTCTACCATCTTCCGAAGCAGGAACCCGAGCGAATAGTACTAGTGCATATGTTCCAGGGCAGGGGTTCGGAGAGCCTTCAACGAAACCCTAAATCCCAAACCCTTTGCAAGGCCTCGTGCGGCATCTTGAAGGCTCTAGGAGACACCAAAACCCGGAGAGCTTTAGGCTGTTTTTTTTTGAAGGCCCTTTTCCGTGCTTCCGCTAGGAGGCCCTATTAGGGTTTAGGGTTTAGTGTTTGTTTAGGGAATCCTTGAGTGCAGCTGAGCGGCGCGGCACAGACCTTTCGGCATACCACCGGGCCTCCACATACTGCCTTTTCAAGTGCTAGGGATGGGGCTCGGGTCTTGGGGTCTAAGGTTCGAGCTGGGGATTTAGAGGGTTTGGGGTTTATGGTTGAGGCTTTAAAGTTAGGTTCGAGTTTGGGGATTTAGAGGGAACTTCGTAAATCTAAGGTTGAAAGTGCAAGGTTTAGCTGGAACTCGATGAATCGGACAGTTCGATAGATGGACTAGACAAACTCTCAAAGAGTGGAACCCATAGTGGAGTTTGAACATTGAGCTGGGACATCACAGAAACTGAGGATTTGGACAGGGATAGGTACAATAAGGCAACAGCTAGTTCTCCCATCATAATACCAGCAGCATCCATAAGAATAGCGATGAAATCCATGGTTACGGCCCTCCCACTTGGTTTTTGCCATGCCATGCCACGCTGTATAACGAGAAGAGGAAGGGAAGACCACCGCACAGCAATGACCAACATCCAGTTCCCCTGGCACGTAACACCTGAAAGCATCCTGGCACAGGCTGCTAGATCTGGGGACTGCCTCGTGCCTTTTGTATATATGTATGTATTTGAGCATTCACACATGAGCCTATGCAGGCAGGTACGTAAGTACCTAATGCATGTGTATGTATAAACTTACTTATTTGCTGATTTACTTTCTGGTCATCGGACGTTTTCGACTGCCAATGCTAAATGCGGCCTTGCTGCTTGAAGGGCTCCACTGGCAAGATGGTCTTCACTTGCCGCAGCACGCCTGGAGGACAGTGGTCGTTGGCTTTATAGGAGTTTGAAGTACTGACAGATGAGGGTCCCAAACCCTAAACCTTAAACCTTAGTAGCCTGACTTTCAGCCTATTAGTAGAGCCCTGCTTTTTGCTCTAAGTCTCCCAGGGGCGTCTGAAGCCGGAAGTGGACCACGGTGGGGCCTTGCAAAGCACATCGAAAAGGGTTTAGGGTTGAGGGCTGTTTTGATTTAGGTGTCGGGGCTTTGGGTTTAAGGTTGCGTTTTAGGGGGTTGGCCAGGGGTTGAGGGTTGAGGGATAGGGTTTACGCGGTTTGGCCATGACTTGGTCATGCGGACGCAGACCTCGGGCCTCGGAAGGCTGTGCAGTGGGGAGATCGTCTGTTTGTGTTTCCAAGGGAACCAGGCTCGAACCATGTTGGATTGGGAGCCCTCGCAAGGAGATAGGACCGATAGGACCCGACTCATGATAGGGCCCCCAAGCAAGCACAGAAGCGACAAAGATGGTAGGGATACACCATAATCACCTTACAGGTGGTGAGCATAGAGGCGCCCCAATCAGATTTTTTAGGGCTGTGGGGTAGAGTAAACATGAGTAAACTATACTTACACAAGGAACTCCGGGAGAATCATACTGCAGCACCGTGGAGATTCGGGAGCCTAAGTCCTCCAAAATCCCCCCGAAAACTCGCAGACCCAAAGTCCCATGGAATCTCCAAAACCCTAAACCCTGAACCCTGAACCCTGAACCCTAAACCCAAGCCTGAAACCCGGCCCCGGGTCTAGCGCTGACCTGGACCCAAAGAACCCACAACTTCCAGGGTTCCTTGCGATGACTTCTTTTCATACTTCCTTAAAGAAGGTAGGTCGGTCTTGTTGGGACTATATGACTTCTATACACATGTCCTTCGAAAGGGCAGATTTTGTTGGGGGGGGAGGGGGTGGGGTAGAGGTCGGCACAGGCTCTCCGGGCCTTCGAAGGTCACGTTGGTTTGAATCGAGGAGGCGACGCTGCGCGACAAAGGCACAGGGAGCCGAGGCGAGCCAAAGAGCTGGAGCCCATGGGTTCGCTCCTTTTTGGGTTTAGGGCTTGGTGTTTAGAGGTCTGGGTTGAGGAGTGGATAGAACTCAAGATTGGAGGGTTTAGGGTTGAGGTTAAGGGATGATCGAATTGACAAATTCTAGGTTTTAGGATTACGGTTCAGGCTTCTAGGGCATGGGATCTGGAGTTTAGGCTTGCGGTGCCTCAAAGCCAGCTATCTCATAACCGAAAACATGCAAAGTTTACACGAGATAGAATTGCAGATGTGCATGACAGTTTCTTTCCTTATACCGTGCAAGCTGTGTGCTCGAACTTACACTTGAAGGATGTACGTAACAGCTTCCTTGCTGTGGAGGCTGGGTGCTAGAAGTTTACACAAGAAAGATGTGCGTGACAGTTCCTTATCGTGCAGGCTGTGAGCTCGAAGTCTACACAAGAAAGATGAACGTAATAATGTTCTAAGCATGTTTTTTTGTGCAAGCTGGATGCTCGAAATTCTCACAAGAAAGAAAGATATGCATGACAATTTCCTTACCATGCAGGCTGTGTGCTGGAAGTTTACCTACGAAAGCTGTGCGTGACAGTTTCCTTGCCGTGTGGGCTATGTGCTCGAAGTTTATACAAGAAAGATATGCGTGATAGTTTCCGTGCCGTGCAGGCTGTGAGCTCGAGGTTTACACAAGAAAGAAGTGCGTGACAATTACCTTATTGAGCAGGCTACGTATGTGCTCCAAATTTATAACATAAGAAAGACGCGCCCGACAACTGCCGTACCGTGCAGGCTGTGTGCTCGAAATTTACACAAGAAAGATTTGCAGATGTGCGTGACAGTTTTCCTTGTACCGTGCTGGCTGTGTGCTCGAAGTTTACACAAGAAAGATGTGTGTGACAGCTTCCTTGCCATGCAGGCTACGTGCTCGAAGTCTACACAAGAAAGATTTGTGTGACAGTCTCCTTTCCGTGCAGGCTGTGTGCTCGAATTGTTACACAACCATATACGCTGTATGCTCGAAGTTTACACCAGAAAGATGAACGTAATAATGTCCTTACCGTGTCTTCTTGTGCAGGCTGTGTGCTCGAAATTTACACAAGAAAGAATTGCGCGACAGTTTCCTTACCGTGCGCTCGAAGTTTACACAAGAAAGATTTGCGTGACAATTTCCTCGCCGTGCAGGGTGCTTGCTCGCAATTAAAGATGTGCGTGACAGCTTCCTTACCGTGCAGGTTGTGTGCTCGAAGTTTGCGAAAGATGTTCTTGACAGTTTCCTAGGTTGTGTCTGATCGAAATTTACACAAGAAAGAAGTGCGTGACAGTTTCCTTTTCGTGCAGGCTATGTCCTCGCATTTTACACAACGAAGATGCGCATGAAATTTTCCTTACCTTTCAGGTTGTGTGCTCGAAGTTTACACAAAAGAAAAGCGCGACAATTTCCATATCGTGAAGGCTATGTGCTCGAAGTTTGCACATGAAAGACGTGCATGACAGCTTCCTTGCGGCGCAAGGCCGCGAGCTCGAAGTTTACCCAAGAAAGAAGTGAGTGATAATTTCTTTACAAAAAGACTAAGACGCGCGTGAACATTTCCTTAGCGTGCAGGCTGTGTGCTCGAAGTTTGCACGAGAAAGATTTGCAGATGTACGTGACAGTTTCCCTGTACCGTGCAGGTTGTGTGCTTGAAATTACACGAGAAAGATGTGTGTGACAGTTTCCTTGCCTTGCAGGCTGCTTGCTGGAGGTTTACACAAGAAAGATTTGCGTGACAGTTTCCTTACCTTGCAGGCTGTGAGCTCGAAATTCACACAATCAAGAAAGATGTGCGTGACCGTTTCCTTGCCGAGCAGGCTGTGTGCTCGATTTTTTCGCAACCGTATACGCTGCTTGCTCGAAGTGTACACAAGAAAGACGCGGGTGAAAATTTCCTTATTGTGCGGCTGTCACTGTGTGCCCGAAATTTGCGCAAGAAAGGAGTGCATGACAGATTTTTTACCGGGCGCTCGAAGTTTACACCAAGATGTGTGTGTGTGTGACAGTTTCTTTACCGTGAAGGCTGTGTGCTCGAAATTAAAGATGTGCGTGACAGCTTCCTCACCGTGTAGGTAGCGTGCTCGAAGTTTGCGCAGGAAAGATGTTCGTGACAGCTTCCAATCCGTGCATGCTGTGTGACCGATGTTTACACAAGACAGAAGTGCGTGACAGTGTCACTTTCGTGCAGGCTTTGTCCTCGAATTTTACACAAGAAAGATGCGCGTGAAACTTTCCTTGCCGTGCAGGCTGTGTGCTCGAAGTTTACACAAAATAAAGCCGTGACAATTTCCTTACCGTGAAGGCTGTGTGCTCGACGTTTACACAAGAAAGATATCCGTGACACTTTCCTTGCCGTGGAAGGCTGTGAGCTCGGAGCTTACACAAGAAAGAAGTGCACGACAATGTCCTTATAGTGCAGGCTATGTGCTCGATATTTCCAGAACAAAAACGCGCGTGAAAATTGCCTTACCGGGCAGGCTGCGTGCTCAACAATTACACGAGAAAGATTTGCAGATGTGCGAGACAATTTCCTTATACCGTGCAGGCTGTGTGCTCGAATTTACACAACACAGATGTGTGCGACAGTTTCCTTGCCGTGCAGGCTGTATACTCGAAACTTACACACGACTCTTTTTGTGCAGGCTGTGTGCTTTAAGTTTACACAACCATATACGCTGCATGCTCGAAGTGTACACAAGAAAGATGAACGCAATAATTTCCTTACTGCGTCTCTTTGTGCAGGCTGTGTGCTCGAAATTGACACAAGAAAGATATGCGTGACAATTCCATTACCATGCGCTCGAAGTTTATGCAAGAAAGATGTGCGTGACAGTTTCCTTACCGTGCAGGCTGTGTGCTCGCAGTTAGAGATGTGCATGACAGCTTCCTTACCATGCAGGTTGTGTGCTCGAGGTCTGCGCAGGAACGATGTTCGTGACAGTTTCCAAACCGTGCAGGCTATGTGCTCGAAGTTTGCACAAGAAAGACGCGCGGGACAATTTCCTTACCGTGCAGTCTGCGTGCTGGAAATTTACACAAGAAAGATGCGGGTCAAAAATTCTTTACTGTGCTCCAAGTTTACACAACTGAAAAGCTTGATAATGTCCTTAGCGTGGCGAAGTTTCCACAAGAGAGAAGTCCGTGACATTTTTCTTTGCTGTGCAGGCTATGTGATCGAAATTTACACAAGAAAGTCGCACGTGAAAATTTGCTCACCATGCAGGCCGTGTGCTCGAAGTTTACACAAGAAAGAGCTGCCAGATGTGAGTGACAGTTTCCTTACATCGTGCAGGCTGTGTGCTCGAATTTACACAAAAAAGATTTGTGTGACAGTTTCCTTGCCATGCAGGCTGTGTGCTGGAAGTTTGCACAAGAAAGATTAGCGTGACAGTTTCCTTACCGTGCAGGCTGTACGCTCCAAACTTGCACTGAAGATGAACGTGACAATCTTCTTACCGTGTCTTTTTGTGCAAGCTGGGTGCTCGAAATTTACACAAGAAAGATATGCATGACAGTTTCTTTAGCGTGCAGGCTGTGCGCTGGAAGTTTACACAAGAAAGATGTGCCTGACAGTTTCCTTACCGTGAAGGCTCTGTGCTCGAAGCTTACACAAGCAAGATGTGCGTGACAGCTTCCTTGCCGTGCAAGTCTGTTAGCTCGAAAGAAGTGCGTGACAATTCCCTTATCGTGCAGGCTATGTGCTCCAAGTTTACACGAGAATGACGCCGCGTGACAATTTCCTTACCGTGCAGGCTATGTCCTCGAAGTTCAGCTAAGAAAGATGTGCGTGACAATTTCCGTTGCCGTGCAGGCTGTGTGCTGGAAGTTTGCACAATCGAAAAGCATGACAATTTCCTTACCGTGAAGGCTTTGTGCTCGAAGTTTATGCCAGAAAGATGTGCGTGATAGTTTCCGTGCCGTGCAGACTGTGAGCTCGAAGTTTACACAAGAAAGCTTTGCGTGACAATTACCTTACTGTGCAGGCTGTATGATCGAAACTTACACAAGAAGGATGAATGTGATCATTTCTTTACCGTAACTTTTTGTGCAGGCTGTGTGCTCGAAGTTTACACAAGAAAGATATGCGTGACAATTTTCTTACCGAGCAGGCTGCGTGATCGAATGTTACACAACCGTATATGCGGATCGCTCGAAGTTTACACAAGAAAGACGCACGTGAAATTGTCCTTACTGTGCGGCTGTGTGTTCGAGATTTACACAAAAAAGATGTGCGTGACAGATTCCTTACCATGCAGCCTGTGTGCTCGAAGGAAAAGATGTGCATGATAGCTTCCTTACCGTGCAGACTCTGTGCTCGAAGTTTGCACAAGAAAGATGTGCCTGACAGTTTCCTTACCGTGCAGGCTGTATGCTTCAAGTTTACACAAGAAACGTCACCGTGATAATTTCCTTACCGTTTCTTTTTGTGCAGGCTGTGTGTGCGAAGTTTACACAAGACAGATATGCATGACAATTTCCCTACCGAAAAGGCTGTGTGCTCAAAGCTTACGCAACTATATACGCTTTGTGCTGGAAGTTTACACAAGAAGGATGAACGCAATAATTTTCCTTAAAGCGTCTTCTTGTGCAGGCTGTGTGCTCGAAATTTGTACAAGAAAGATGTGCATGACAGTTTGGTTACCGTGCGCTCGAAGTTTATACAAGAAAGATGATTTGCGTGACAGTCTCCTTACCGTGCAGGCTGTGTGCTCGAAGTTAAAGATGTGCGCGACAGCTTCCTTACCGTGCAGGTTGTATGCTCGAAGTTTACACAAAAGAAAAGCGTGACCATTTCCTTGTCGTGAAGACTGTGTGCTCGAAGTTTACACAAGAAAGATGTGCGTGACAGTTTCCTTGCTGTGCAAGGCTGTGAGCTCGAACTTTACACCACCGTATACGCTGTGTGCTCGAAGTTTACACAAGCAAGACGCGCATGAACATTTCCTTACTGTGCAGGCTGTGCGCGCGAAATTTACATAAGAAAGAAGTGTGCGATAGTTTCCTTGCCGTGCAAGGCTGTGAGCTCGAAGCTTACATAAGAAAGAAGTGCGCAGGAAAGATGCTCGTGACAGCTTCCCCTTACCGCGCAGGTTGTGCGGTCGAAGCTTACACAAGAAAGATATGCGTGACAATTTCCTTACCGTGCAGGTTGTGAATCTGTGCAGGCTGTGTTCTGGAACAACACAGCAGCAATATGTTCGTGATCGGTTCCTTATCGTATAGAGTGGGTGCTCCATGTACGAACCCAGCAATATGGGCGTGATATTTTCCTTACCGTGCGAACTCGTACATCCTCGGCCAGTTTAGGGTGTACGGTTCAGGGTTCAGGGTTTAAGGACCTACACCCCGATGTCAAAGACAGGAAATGATAACTTCTGCCAGCAAATTGCCAAACTCATCTGGTATGAACCACAGAAGCTCTCAATATCCTGCCTGTGTAGCCCCCGACCCAGACTAAAGGGGCTTATGCAACAAGGATCCCATGGCAGGACCCCTCATTTAGTATTTAAGGAAATCTGAAATACTATGTGTTAAGCTCGAGGATGTTGCATGCTCGAGCACCTTGGTATCGAGATCCCTCTGGTTCCCGCGGTCCTCGAAGGAACACATGTGCTCTTTGTCCATTAGCTGCCCATTCACGACGCCCTTGCCGTATTCCTCCAGAAGGCTCTCTTACGATCAAACTACCCAAAACCCACACCCTAAGCTCCAAACCCAAAACAGCTTCTACACCTAAAGCCCTAAACCCCAAACCCAGAATAGCCAACATACCTGAATTCGACCATGCTCCACGATCCTGTAGGCGGGGAATTTTCAAACGATCAAGCAAGTTTGTTCAGCAACTTTTCCCACCGCTCCCACGATCCGAAGCAAACGAAGGGCTCAGGGTTTAGGATTTTGTGGAGTGCTGTGCTCTCTTCCAACTGAACGAAGCTAGAGTTTTCTGTAAGTAACATGACATTCAAAGCAACCCCGCAAGCTCACCTCACTTCTGACCCTCATTTGCAGAAGCTTTACTTGATTCAACCATGCGCACTCATTCCTTGAACAGCCAAGC